TTTTTTTTTTCAGACACTGGCATTTTCAGCTCCCATCCACCTGAAGCTCTTCACATTTTCTGTATTTCCACATAAGCAGTTGCATTGGTTTTTATGTCTTTAAACATTATGTAATATTATTTTATGCACTGTCATCATTATTCAGATATTGGGATTTTCATTATGTGAATTTGGTCCTGAAACTGTAATCTTATTGCAGGGGTGGATTGAGGCTGTCTTCTGGGTCTTTCAGATTTTGAAGCTCACATTGATGGGTATCTCTTTTTTCTGTTGGAAGACCATCAAAAATGTAGGATGGATCAACAAAGATAATTTGGAATACTGTCAGAAAATATCTATGGATCAGTTCCTGTTATTGACGATGTCACCTGTTGTGCATGATTAAATTTCAGTGTTGATTGACAGTGCTATTGTAGGCATCAAAATTGACAAAATGAACAATTTTCTGCATTTTTATTTTGTGTTTTTGTCTGTACATTTGACAGCTTTGCTGCCTTGTTTAACTTTCTCTTGTAGGTGGATGACGAAGATTTGCAAGATGAACCACTGCAACTGAGGTAATATAGTTTTAATCAACTTTAACAGGTGTTGCATCATATTGATTTGTTTGAAACATATTGATAAAAATAAGGCAGATAGATGTGTGCACATTTTCAGGTGTGGTGGCTAAATATATAAACCATATTTTTTTTACAAAACATTTTTTGCCTTACAGAGTGCTGGACTATGATACATACAGTGCCCATGATGCCATAGGGAAGGTTTACATTAACTTAAATCCCCTGTTGTCCAAAGATAGTGCATCCTCAATATGTGGATGGTTCCCAATCTATGACACCATGCATGGTAAGCAGAAGCAGCTTGTCCAGTATGTACTGTTTAAAGTTTTTGCATATCACATTGGCCATTTTCATGTAGTTCCAAGATTGAGAGTACAACAATTTAGGTAGAATGTGATTTTATTATTCACATAACTGCATGCTGTAAACCCAGATATAATCAATATGTATAATATTTAGATTTTAGATGTGCATATAAGTGTAAATGTAAATTATAATTTTCAGGAATCCGAGGTGAAATAAATGTGATAGTGAAATTGGAGCTGTTCACAGATGTCAACAGATACAGACAGTCCTCCTGTGGAGTTCAGTTTTTTGGAAGTAAGATGTCTGAAGACAAATGCTTTTTAATATCAATTCCCCTTTAATTTTTATAGTGATCATAAAATACTTAAGGTATTAACATTATTTTTTTATTAAAAAAACAGTTGAGAAACAATCAAATTTTTAAAAATGTAAAGGAAAAACTGCAAAAATTCCAATAAAGGGCAGTGAGGTCATGCTGGAAGTGTATTCAAATCTTGACTTCCAGTAAATTTTTTAAAATATAGGATCCTTGGGTAATATCAACTGTATTTTTTTGAAAAGTAGAAAGGTGTCTTTCCAGCGACTGTTCATATAGTCTAATTGTTTTGCCATGCTTTTCTGATTGTTTGCCATTAAACTGGTGGTAGGTGTGAGCATCAGAACTATTGCCATGCTGAATTTTTTACCCCAATAAATGTACATGTATTAAATAAGATGTGAATTCATTTTAATGTGTAGACTAAGAATTTTATCATGTTACCTTACAGGTACCTGTGTTCCCTATGGCTACAGGGCTCAGGCTATCTATGGGTTTGTGGAAGAGCTAGTGGTCAATGATGACCCTGAGTATCAGTGGATAGATAAAATAAGAACTCCAAGAGCATCAAATGAGACCAGACAGAGGCTGTTCTCAACTCTGTCGGGTGAATGTCCTTTTTTTTTTTTTTTTTTTTTTTGTAATGGTAATTACAAATGTCTGTTTTAGCTGTATTCTCATGGTCATTAACTTGATACATTGATGTTAAAGGCTCTTGTTATTTATTTGTTGGTTTTGTTTCTTGTCATTGTTTAAATTATATGCATGATTTTTCTTTTCTAATTGCATTTGTACTTTAATTTTTAGGAGAGCTCCAGCGCAGGATAGGTTTAAAAGTTTTGGAAATGGGTGGGAATGCTATCATCGGGTGAGCTGTACTACATCAATTTGTTTAAAGGATATGGTGCATGAAAAGTATCAAAATCTTTCGTGTGATTTACTCAAACAGAACAGTAATTGTACCACCAGCGTAGGCGCTGGCGGTACCCATGGTTTTAGTCCCAACCCGTATGTTCCGCCGGCTCCTGCGGCTCCGCCGCCAAGTCACCGTTACCGCTTCTCCTCCTAGACGGTAAGGGCCCCTGTACCCATCTCTTGGATTTAGGTCACCTATACAGTGTTTTATTTACAATTTGGAACTAGAGAGTCAGATGACTCACT